GCCACACGATTTATTGCAAAAACAAATTGATTCTAGCTGTTCACCGAAACAACTTCCCTATGCTGGTCTTATATCGTCCTTAATAGCGTTTCAAAATCATGTAATCATGTGTGACATGGGTACCGAATTCTATAATACTTTCTTTTGGTGTTTATGTGTTTCTATTCTGTGCTTGTGTCTATTTACTCATTTCTTCAGGTGTTTTAAGTTGGACAGAGGATGTTGAAGCTAAGTAAAGAATCTGGAGTCCTTTCAAATTTCCAGTTTCAAACTTTGGGATTCTTGGATCACCTTATTGGCTCTCCTTCCCTTTGGAAAGGGTTTACTCTGTGTGAGTGTTTTCATTTTTAAAAATTGAGATCATGTGCTCAACCAGATAAATCAAATGAATACTTCTATTTATCAATCACACAAACCAGCCAAGTGATTCTAAATGTCTGCTCAACCAGATAAATCAAATGAATAAATGAAATCTATATAAACTACATTAAGTGATATTGTCTAAAATAATAAAATGGCCACAGTAAATAAATCTCAGTCTCTACTCTGACAGTATGTAAAAAGTAATAAATCTCTCCAAATAGATAATTAATCATTTAAACCTGATACTGAATACATAAGAGTTAATGCAAATTGAGCTTGTCCAAAGTAATACGATTTTATATATCATATTCACATACTAAATGTCATTGGAAAAGTATTATAACTGTTTTGTGCATATCTATTGCATTATAATTTTTTTTTTTTTCATTGCAAGGAAAGGTCCATATATTGCCTTGAACATTGGACGACCAATTCAAATGATGCCAAGACAATACAAGCACACTCTCTTGTCCCAAATCTATTACTTCCAATGGAGGTTTCAAAACAACTCCTGATGATTGCAGTGAGTGAACAGAAAATACAATGTGAAATCTAATAAACTGTTGATTCAATGTGTACTGAATTAATCTAAACTCTAAAGGCGACAACTGCAATAGTAACACTAACGAGCCAAACCAGATAAAAAAACTTATTAACCTAAACACTAAAACTAATTACTTCATTTTGACTGATACTGTCTATAGCACAATAAACTTAAAACTATTTTTTCTTTCCCTCTTTGTCTCTATAACAATGTGCATTTAAAATAAACTAGATTTGAAGTATTAACAATAGCAGAACACTTCTATTTATTAATCACATAAACTAGTCCCATCAAATTGACTGGATTTCTCTTTATCATTTCAACTCCAATCCAACACATTCATCCAACAAAAACTTACACCCAACCAAAAAAAAAAAAAAAAAAAAAATTGAAAAACGAAAGTGTCTAATTACCAATGGTAGATGAGGAAGACGAAGAACAAGCGCAGAAGAGGAAGACGAAGAACAAGAGCGCGAAGACGAAGAACAAGCAATAACGCAGATGGAAGACGAAGAAGATGCTAATGGCTGTGTGTTTTAATTTTAGAAACTTCCCCAAAATGTACCTAATACACGTGAACTCTTTTTTTAAATTTTAATTAAAGTATGGGCGGGCGTCCGTAAGTAATGGACGGCCGTCCTTTACATAAGGGACGGCCATCCAATCCTTATGGACGGCCGTCCATACATAATGGACAGACGTCTATTCCTTACGGAAGTCTGCCCACACTTAAAGGACAACCATCCAAAGTTTTTCTTTAGTTTTGTAAAACCAAAATAATGGACGGGCATCCATTCCTTACGGACGCCCGTCCAAAAGTAAGCGACGGCGGTCCACAATTTGTGGCGGGTGTCCCCAAAGTTTTTTTTTTTTTAATTTTCATATTTTGGTTAAGGACTGGCGTCCCTTATTTGTGGGAGCCTGTCCAAAATTAATGGATGGCCGTCCACAACGAATGAATGACCGTCCCTAAATGTTTTTTAATTTTTTAAAAAGAATTGTTAATGGACGGGCATCAATTAAAATATGAACGCCCGTCCAATATTTAGGGACAGCCGTCCATAACCTATGTACGGCTGTCCTTAATTTTTATAAAAAAAAATTATTCCATTTTACTTATGGACGGACGTACTTTAAATGGGGACGCCCGTCCGTAGTAAATGAACCCGCGTCCATATAATATGGATGGGAGTCCATGTAAGTGAACGACAGTCCATATTTAATGGACGACCGTTCACTAGAAAAATATTTAATAATGCGTCTAGATTGCTGGTGTGAGTCAGGGGACACGTAGGCTGATACACGTTTTCGGTGCAAAAATGCCGGTGTCTGTAGCGTTGTTGTTTACTTTTAGGGTGCATTTAGTAAGAAGTAATGTTAAATTATCTTATATTTCTTGATTATTACGTTTAATTGTTAAGTAATATAAAATTTTGTTAATCTTATAAAACCAATAGTACTTACTATTGGTAATATTAAAGGTGATCAGATTATCTCTATTTTCTTAGGTATTTTAATATTACTTAATAATATGATTTTTGTTACAATTTTACCCCTTAGGGGCTGTTTGGATGGGGTTAATATTAGATAACTGGTGCAATATTTTTTAAATTGAGCAAATGACAATGCTTGGTTAGTTTGTAAAAAATTATTCCTAGAATATTTTATGAAAGCAGTAGCATTTGGTCTAAATTAACCTTATATTTGTTAACATTTACAAAACACCCAATTCACTCATACAGACACTTTTGTCCTCACTTTTTAAATTATTTGGACGACATTGCCCTTATTATTGTCATTATTTACAGAAATGCCATTATACCCAGAACTAGCCACCATTACTGGAGGTTGCCAAAAGTCACTATTCCGCCAATGAGGCTTTTTTCTACTATGATCATAGATCCATGGTCAGAAAAAGCCAGATCTAGCTCTATCATGGGCAGATCTATGGTTGTGAAACGGCTGACGTTTTACGGCTAAAGACTTGGCCATTTCATGGGTAGATCTATGGTTGTGAAATGGCTAGATCTGTGGCATAGTTAGTGTCACGGCCAAATCTGTGGCAATGCTAGTGGCTGCTAGCAGTGGTGGCTGGCTGCCGTCAGTGGCTTGAGGTGGGTAGGGGTGTTTTTGTTCAGTTTAAAATATTTTTGGTTTCTAGGGTGTTTTGCTAAATCTGGAAAGTAGGGGGTTAAAAAAATTATTCAAAAAATAATAATAAAAAATACTATTATATTAATATTTAAAAAGGAGGGCAATTTAGTAATCTATATAACATATTATTCACCAATTTATTTGAATCAACCAAACACATTTTCTAAACATTTCCAGTAATCTTCAAAGTGATTTTTTATTCCGTTAATATAATATCGCCCTATTATATGATCCAAACGCCCACTTATTACTAAAATTTTAGGACAATAATGCCATTGTTTTTAAATTAATTTACATGAATCTAGCTATTACATTTTTACTCCAATTAATTAACTTTTTGGACAAAATTACCCTTGAATTCAAAACAAATTGCAGCCTATCCAAGCCACCACCCTCACCTAGTTGCTGCGGTCGGCCACCGTCGCCATTGCTAGAATAGAGCACGGTCAGTCAAAAATGGCCACTGTGCGCCAATATGGCTGAAAAACCACCAAATCTAATCTAGTGATTTCCGGCTAGATCTGTCATGATCTGGCCATTTCTAACAATAGATCTTGTCGGAAATGGCCATATCGGCACATGGAGACCATTTTCGACCAACCGTGTGCTATTGGGTTGTCGATTGCTAGAGACCGGTAGTGGTTGGGTTGGTGGGGGTGCATTTGTTGATTTTCTAAACTTTTATTATGGGGTTGTTTTTGCTAAGTTTTTAAATGTAGGGGGTTATATAATAATCTAAATAATAATATTTAATTAGAGGGCAATTCAGTTATCTAAATAACATACCAACCAATCTATTCATCTCAACCAAATATATTAATATAAGATATCCACCAATTTATTCCAACCAATCAAATACATTTCCCTAAACATTCCCAGTAATCTTCAAGGTAATCTATCTTTTCATTAATATCACATTCTCAATAATATAATATTCTCTGAACCAAACGCACCCTTACTCTAATGTTAATAATAACATTACTCTATTGGATTCTTAAGACAATTATAATTTGTTCTTGGTTTTCATCTTAATTAAATTCGTTATACTTTATAACTTTTTTTGATTAAAACTACAGTAAAGTGTTTTCTAGACATTCAAAAACGTCCAGAAGGTTTTCTTAATATTTTGTTACAATACAATCCACTAAAGAAAATGTGAAAATGTTTAACTTGTATGTGAAATATTATTATTTATTATTTTTTTTTTAATGATGGGGAATATCCAAACTAGTTTACACGTACCTCAATTAATCTCTCGACATTCTAAAATTATTGACCGGGTAAGAACTCCAATGGCCACCCTATACCCCAATTAATCTCTCAAGACCTTAAAACTATTGACTGATAAAAAATTAAATGACTATCTCTACTAGCAACCAAGGTAAATTAAACTCAAAGGTCAAAACCTATTAAATAATACATCCAAAAATCCTAGTGGACTAATTGGTTATATATTAACAAGAAGAAATGTTTGTAGAAGTTATCATGGCTTCTTAAAATAAAAGAAAAAAGCAGGGACACTGTCAGCCCTTCGGAGACTCCCCCGACTTTTTTAAAAATACTTTATAGCCCTTCAACTTTATCATTTACCCCTCTGAAGCCGAAAATATAATATCTCCCTAATAGGAGATCTATAATGAATAATACTTTGAGTACTAATGGATGGGTACTAATTTGTGTACTAACTAAAGCATAGTACCCGTACTATGCGCATAGTACGGGTACTATGCTTTAGTTAGTACACAAATTAGTACCCATCCATTAGTACCCATAGCATCACTCATCTATAATACTTTTTAAAAATCATGGGTGCACTTGATATTTGGCTCTCTATCAGGAAGTTGGATAGAGTTAACCCGAAAAAAGAAAGCAAGAAAAATGAATGTTAATCACAAATCTAGAAGAAATTTCTGGAAAAGGTCAGAAGCTACAGTTTATGACTTTGTATTTGAATCAACAAAACAAAATTAAATTGTCATTCTTCAGACGTCACAAACGTAACCCATAACAAAATGAGAACATATATTTTCATTCTGATACCAAGTAAAACCAAAAAAATAATGATAATAATCCAAGTACCAATGGAAAGAATCAGGATATCGACTCGAGAAAGAAAGCTCTAATTAATCCGCTTTTGGAACATCGCAACGAGGGAGGGCTCTTAAATGAAGATGGCATAGCCCACTGCATTGCATGCCAAAATCCAATCTCTATCTACATCCATCACGCCAATGCATTTGCAATTCTGTCCGACCACTGCACCTAACCTACATACAAGGCATAGACCTTGCCAAGGTGGCATCTTGCCTTAATATCAAATAATGGTCCAGTTCTCGGACAGCAAAATCTTTTGACTTCACTACTCACAATAGAAACAAAAAAATGTGGTTCGTCTAAACTTTTTGTTTCAATGCTATCATCTAATATGAAAAAAATTGCCAAAGGTGGGTGACTGTACAAATACTACCCCTATGCAGAACTTGGCCAAGTCAATGAAATAGACCTCCAAACAATATATGGAGAGTGTAAACCAAGCTAATCTTTTGGTAGATGATCTAGTCAAATTCTCAGCTGCTTGTCTAATGCATTCTCCTCCTGCAAGCACTCAAATCTGGTCATACGCAACAAACTCAATGATGAAGCAGATAAGGAAATTAAAATGAGTGAAACAATCAGAGCTCAAATATGAAAGCAATATCAGACACACAATAGTATATACATCTGCTTGTCTCCCCTTTTTTTATACATCTTCACCGTTCCCGAAAGCTATTTGATGAAAATGAATCCCATGAGTGATCTATAACCACACATCATAACTTTTACATGTAAGAGTGGTAAAATACGAAGTGGAGAGAAAAAAAACAGCAACAGTGTGTGAACTCATAGTAGCAACAAGGAGAAAATGTGCACATTGTGGCTGCAAAAACTAGTATATAGAACTCAGCTATTTTCACGCAAAAACATATTAGTATGTGATAAAAGCTTGCAATTTATAACAATATACTGTGCATTGGCTTCTCTTTTCTCTCTTGTTTTCTATCTTTTCACTGCAGTAGATATAACCGAAGTACGTAAAAGTATGACAGTCATACGATTTAGAAATGATTTCCACTAATCAAGCCATAATGCAAAGGATGTCTCCGCAATATATAATAATCCCCACTAGAAGATTGCATGTTAATTTCGAATCAACAAGCTCATGGTACCTGTTTAAAAGTCCATTGTGCCGAGCTTGATGCAAAAGAAAATCTTTCTTTTTCCTTATTATATTAGCAGTTCACAGTCATGCGATTTACAATGATTTTCACAAATCAAGCCATAATGCACGGGATGTCTCCACAGTAAATATATATATGATCCCCACTAGAAGATTGCATGTTAATTTATAATCAGCAAGATCATGCTACCTAATTAAAAATTCATTGGGAAGAGTTTGATGCAAAAAGAAAATCTTTCTTTTTCCTTATTACATTAGGAGTTCATGACTCTAATATAAGTAGGCATTTCGCATACAATTCTGGCTGAAAGTTAAACAATAAAGGTTCTAAGGTTTCATACCCTTCTCACTCTCTTTCCTCCTCTTTTTCATGTTTGCACACTGGCTTTAATTACAGCAGATTCTGTACTGATATTCTGATACAACAAACTCAATAAAAACCACCCCCATCCACCAATATTATTTCCACTAATATATTGATAGCCATATGTACAGTTCCCAGTACCATCCAGGGGCACTATTCATTGACCAAACCAGTCTACTTTTTCATCTCAATACTCTGGTCCACCAACTATACTTAAATGATAACCTTTATATTGTTAACCCACTATCAATATTAGATCCAAATTCTTGATTTGTATTATTACCTCTAATGAAACTGTCAACTTAAATATGATGGAAGAAGTTTCAACTATGAAAAGGCCATACTATGAGATAGGAGAAGATAAAAAGATTTGATGAGATTATTATAGAAAACTATTAAGGGAAATGACTAATGGACGAGAAATGCAAAAGTTATCATAGTGGCAATCTATTGGCCACAACAAACTATGTGAGGCACATCATAATGCCAACAATATGACAAAGAAACTGTGCCTTAAAGTTGATTGCTTTCTTAAAAATAAAATTAAAAAGCCTCATTCATTGGCTTGTGGTGAACAAGGATCAATTAAGTTCGTATCAAATAGCAAAAACTATATAATTTTGATTTCTTAAGATAAAACTAAACTTTGTGGAGGAAATACTTTATAGAACTGGCCAACTTCTTATACTGACATGATCACATGAAGTGAAATGAAGCAAATACAGAAAGAAGAATCAATTTCTTTTTTTAAAAACAGTCCACCTTCAAGATGAAGAGATTCACAATTCCAATCTTCTAAAGAGTCAATACCTCACTAGCTGGATAACCCTAATAATCAAATTCAAGGTTGTCCTACGCCATAGCTTTTGACACAACATTTGGATGGGTGCAGAAAATTAAATTCCACATGTAGATAAAAACACACTCTACAAAGTGATGTCGCTAATGAATCCATAATAAGAGAGAAACAACATATTACATGTGTACTTACATCTATAGACTGAAAAGATCTTCCCGTGGATCCCTTAGTTTGAGAGGCTTCAGTACCAGAACTAGATTCATGATCACCAATACCATCATTGTTACCCTACAAACAAGTAAGAAGAGTGGAAAAAATTGATACATCATTGATTTTATATAACATACGAAGAAATATGAACAATTGAACATACAGAACAAGCTTTAGGAATGAGTAAAGGTTGGATAACATGTCTATAAGAGAACATACTCTCACAAAGAAGTGAAAAATGTTAACTCTAAACATCCGATTGATGGCAACACATTTTATAAGCCATTGACAAACAAGCCCAAACACAAACACAATCCATGCCTTAAAGATAGATGCTCATAAATTTATTTTCTAACTTTTGTTCCAAAACCAAAGTTTATACTTTGAAAATGGAAATGACTCAGTGGATCTGCCAAACTCGAAAAATCTGCAGCCTACTGATTTCAGAAAATTCTTTTGCTCATCAATGTAAAAAAATTGTATCCATCTCCATCCCGAAGCAATCAAACAACTTCAAGCCTAGAATTTCAGGGGAAATGGAGAATACTAAGGCCATAAGAAGCAGTTACAAGACTTTATAAAAATCAACCTAAATTAGTATAATCAACTTAATCCACAAAGAAATGGCCAGCAAGCAATCAAACAACTTTAATCCGTTATTTCAATGGTAATGGACAACAATAATGCCCTAGATAGCAGTATATAATATTGTACAGCAGTATACTCCAAATACTCCTGAATCACAGCATTGTTTGACTGATTTATTTAGAGCTTCCAATTAACTTGTGTACAATTAGCAACATGAGTTATAGGATCAACATCAATTCCTCTAGCAGTAAGTTTATCATTGTTAGAAATTAATGACAAGCTTGTAAGGACAAGACTGCATTCTCAATTCAGTTAATCAGATGCAATTAAAATTCACTAAGACCTTTTCATCATCGTCAAGCTTTTACAATCATTCTACTCCTGTTTTCACGTTCATGCCTATCTTCCTTCAAAAGTATACTAAATCATATAACAATCACCCACATAGCGGATTGCCAAGCAACTTGATAATCCTAAATTCAAATACCAATCAGTTTCCTATCTAGTTAACTAAAACATTTGTTTCATAAAAACAATAACAATATATTGATGAAGGGCTAGATAACATACCACAAATGAATATTTGTTCTGCTGAGAATCTTCAAAGAGAGAAGAAAAATAAGCAGGGTCATAAATGGATCCTCCCAAAACATCATCACTCACAGAACGCTCTCTATTCCCAGCAGCAACAGCAGCAGGCGTAACCGGACTCAAAAAACTACTCCTCAAATCAAAATCAGGCTCTCTCGCACCACCACCACCCCCTTCCACATACGAAACCCCCAACCTGTACATCTGAATCCACAACAATGACGACGATAACCTCACCGAAAAACCAACAATTTGCATCGCCAAAGCCAGTTTAACCGAAAATATGAAATAAACTCCATAACTATCGGATGAAATATTCCAAATATCGTGCGAAAAAAGAATGAACCAAAAAGTATCAAGCAAAATGGCACAGAACAAAAGCACGGCGTAAGTCCTCCCAAGACTCTGACTGCTACTCTCAATTGCCACAAGCGCGAACAACGCTATCGCTAAATTTATTAACAAAACTCCGTTGTATAATGCGCTTAGCGATCCGATCAGCGCGCAACCTATCTAATTAATTAATAAATAAAAAACAAAAATCAAACAAGAAATTAAAAGAGTAAACCATGTAAAAATGAAAAAAGAAAGAGAGAGTACTTGAATGTAGATGAGAATGACGGCGATGTATTGGAGGCGATCGTAGTCGCGGAGGAAGCAGCTGAGTTCATCGCGGAGGCGGAGAGTGAGTGAGGAGCAGGAACAGGAACAGCAGCAACTACAGCAATTGCACATCATCTGTGGATCATTTGATTGGATTTAAATCGAATATGTTCATTTGTCTGTTTAAGTTGTTTTTGAATCCTGAGATTTTAATTTGAAGAGGAAGAAGAGATGAGACGAAACGGAAAGTTTTAATTAGTTTATGTTTATCAAAGAAAACCGTCTGCTTTCGCACGTGCATGGAGTATGATTGATTGCGTGGTGTGGTGACTATTAGGTGTGAAAGTGAATTGTCATTCTTTGGAGTTGGATCAAACCAAAGAATATACTACTGTTTAAATTCAATGTGAAATTAATTAATTAATTAATTAACTTATTTATTATATTGTAATTAAATAAAAATAACAATAAAGTACATTATGAAATAGGAAATTGTATTTTTTTTTTTTTTAATAAGGATTACTAGAAGTAATTCCTTTTATGTATAATTAAGAACACAAATCCCCAAATATCGTTAATATTTTGGTGTTAACATAAAGATACATGGGCAATTATGTAAATATTCATTGGCCTATCATATTATAAATTTTAATGGTAACTATTAGAAGCAGAACTTTTATTATTTTTGGAATCTTAAACAGACATTTATTATTTGATTAAACGTCATGAAGGTAGAGATCAAAACCCTTTTATATAATTTAAAATATTTCTATTTATTATAAATATAACACGTGTTAAGATAATTTGGTGATAAAGAATAATTATTCTTTGCTTAAATTAAGTCAAAAGAATAATTGTGAGATGGGTTTATGTTGTATGTATTTTTATTATATAGATAAATACTTTTTTTTTTTTTTTTGTTAATAAATTAGTTTTAACTCCTTTAGAAAATAAATAACGTTGTAAATGGTGGACATCCACAAAAATTGCCACGTCTCATAGGTTGTTATTCTACTCAAATGACACATGCATGCATTTAAGTATGTCAATGTTTTATTTGTTCAAGTAGAAGGCTGACTACTGTGAATAACCCCCACTTTCCTGGTAAACATGAACAACTCAATTGAGTCAATGTTTTACTTGTTCAAGCAGGCCGGCTGACTACTATAATTTAAAAAAAAAAAAAAAAAAACTCCACTTTTCTTTAAATGTATACAACTTAATTGAGAGAAAGAGTTAGGGTTTGGTTAAGCTTATGAAAATTAGCTTATAAGCTAATTTGAGCTTATAAACATTTAAAATTTAAGTAGTTACGTGTTCGGTTAAAATACTTATAAGTGACTGATAAGTAATTAACTGTTTGGTAAAATGTTGTTTATAAGTATATTTTATTATTAAAATGACTAAAAAGATTACTACATTATTTTATCAAATAATAAATTATATTAACTCAATTTTTTATCATAATATTATTAAAATATATTTCGATCATATTATAATATAATTTAATTTTAGAATTAAATAAATAAATACTTTATATACAAAAATTTTATTAAAAATTTATACGAATAGTTTTTACATTTTTTATACAAAATAAACTAATGAACAAATATAATGAATTATAATCATATTCAAAAAAATAAAATTTCAATCAAAATATTCAATTCATGTCTCAATTGAATCATATTAATCCATTCAATTTGCATATGAGAATAACTATATGGTACAAATTTCAATTGCAATCAAATCGCGCATAGCCATCTAATAAGCAGTATTTTCACCATATGCATTGCAATAATTATCATTGGCAAAAGCATTATCTCCATCTGATGAGATTGCTCCATCTCCATCTAGTGAAGGCGTATATGTTTTATTCTTAGCTACTTGAAAAGTCATATCTAGTGTGTTCTTTTTTTTAATGTAGTTATGGATTGTCATAGTGGCAAGCACAATATCTTCTTGTGTGTCAATATGGAAGTTAGGCATATCTCTCAAAATAGAGCAACATGCTTTCCACACACCAAAAGTTCGTTCAACAATATTTCTGCATGACGAATGCATATAATTGAATTTTTCTTTCTTTCTTTCCTGTTGGTACATGTAATCACCTTGTTCGAGCACGTCAAAAATCTTCTAAGTGATATCTTATATTTTCTCCTTTGTATGGACTCTATATCCCTACATATGGCGATATCCAACATCTACCAAATAATATTTGTTGCCCATTGGATGACAAAATCCTAACTCTTCTCTACGGAGTGCCTCAAGAAATATGCAACTATCATGTGCAGCACATTCCCATCCAGCCCATGCAAATGTAAAACACATATTAAAATCTGCAACTGCAAGAATATTTTGAGTAGGATACCCTTTACGTCTAATGTAAGGTATTTCTTCCCCCCAGACAATTTAGCTTTCACATGTGTGCCATCTAATGCTCCAATACAATCCTATTAACATGACAAAATATAAAAATTACTACTTCATACAATTATAATCATGAATCAAATTAATAATAATAGTTTGAAAAAATATATATTGTGTAATAATCGTTACTTACATCAAAAGGTTTGTATTTTGGATTTTTTGGTTTGTGAAATCTCTTTCCTCGATTGTATTGTGGATGTGGTCTAATAATATCTTTAGCTAAAAGAAGTAAAGCAATCAACACCCTATGGAAATGGTTATGAATGGTTTCACCATAATGATTAAATATTTCTTGCGTCAATCTATTCCCACAATTGTGAGCACAATTCATCAAGAATATGCCTACTTCCTCATATACCGACATCCCTCATGTAGGCTTCATACCATATTTATTGGTTAAATCATGACATGAATCCAGGAAGACAACTTTTGTCAAGCAGAAATCTTGATAACAACGATTTTAATTCCCTCCAATATTTCTTGGATCAACATGTGACCAGTTCTTATAGAAGTACAGCATGGGATTTTATCAATGTAATTCATATAGTATAAAATAATGCACTTAACTATTATCTCACAAATAGTCATCCAACTACGATTTTGTTCTTCCCATTGACTCACCAAAGCTTGTAATGCATCCTCTTTATCGCCACGCTCATCAACAACAAAATTGTAATCAGTAGAAACCAAATTTGAAATATCCCATAAACTGAAAAATGAAAAAAATAATAGTCAAATATATGTCTTCAATAACGAAAAAAAATAACAAATATCTTGATCGCAATGGCCACTCATCATAATTATCCAAACAAATTTATCTTTCAACAAACAAGTTACTTACACAATAACATTAATAAAAATAAAATGAAATGACCAAAGAATCCTAAGGATAAGACATAAAAGAAATGACTATGGACTCTTTCCCTCTAACTTCATGTAGTTATACTTCAGCCAATTCAAACGAAATTCCTTATCATCATGACAAAAAAATAGTTCTCTCATATCTTTCTTGGTAAAGAGGTTAGAGGCATAAAAATAAATAGGACTCGATATTTCAATTCCAGGCATCTTCTTTAGCATATCCATACATTCTTTTATAGTTAGTTCATGTTACAACAAACTAGAAGATCCGACAGTACTCTTATCACTAAGCATAGCAATAAGAGAATCTATATTCTCTTTCAATGATGATGCAACCGAGCTTTTGCCTTTCTTCATATTGTTATTAGTTCCTCCAATTTTTCTTTTGTTAAGAGATGAAGATGGGAATTTGATGGGGACATGTTCAAGTTCTTCTATTTTTCTTCCTACCATATCATTATTATCATCTTTTTCAAAATCAACATCGATTCCTTCATCTCTATTTTCACTCATCCCTAATAATTTACCTGCAAATTCATTTTCAATGTTGAGGGCATCAATTTGGCTAGGTACCCATGCTCGATCACTAGTGGCAGTAATATCAAAAAACAGAGCATCATAACGGTACCATATTAATGACAAATCCTTGTTTTTAAATTCCTTATATTCTTTATTCACCTGAAATTTTTTTAATTTAGAAAATTAGTGACATTTCAAACAATTAATATCAATTAAAAGAAAACATACATTAAAAAAAAGATGTAACTACCTTTATTTTATCATTCCACCGTTTGTCATTGGCAATGATTGTTTTCCTCACATCATCCCAACCTAAACCTGTCTCCCCTCACATCAATTGCTTGAAAAGAGTCCAATCTTTTTTCATGGCATCCCAATGATTTCTCATCTGCTTTCTATTATAATTAACACCAGTCCTCTCATTGAATGCCTTGACCAAATTGTTCCATCCAACTGAAGATAAATGAAAATTTGGTCGATTTCCTTTTCTAATTTCTTCTTCGCATAGTTCAATAAAATTAAGGTGGAGCATATCATCCCATTTTGTTGATACTTGAGATTGTGTTACTTTTTTCATACTTTTATCCATCTAGAATTTTAGATTGAAAGATGGGAAAACCATACAAAGTAATTCACAAGAAATGGATCATAACTGCAAAACAAATTATCTAGTGAAGTGCAAACCAATCTACTGTTACTGAATCAAATATTAATATGGGAAAACCAATCTACTGAAATGCAAACATGATAATATTGAATCAAATATCTCATACAAAGTCATTTACAAGAAATGGATCAGAACTGCAAAACAAATTATCTCAGCTTCACAATTCTCCCAAAGAATAAGCAAAAAAGTTGCAAAAGTTTTTACAACACTAAAAACTTTCTACTTCATTTTCCTCTACGATCACAAAATTTTAGATATATATCAATAGAAGAAAAATGGCCCTAGTTGGACTATTTCTAATGGACATGCCCACACTTGATCATAAAACTATATATATCCATGTTCAACAACTTAACAGAAAATGATAAATCAAATTCTTCTCAAATTCAAAACTTTGAAGAACAAATAACAACAAAACCACCAATTTCAACGCTAAAAAAACATAATTTCAACTCAATTAAACTTTAAAACCTTGACTTCAATGTATAAGTCAAAATCAAGCAGATGGGTCATATCAAATTCACAAAAAAAATCACACAAGGGAACTTAGAAACACCAATATATCAAAATTAAACAAATGGGTCATCTCAAATTCCACCATTAAACTACAAAATTACAAGAAAAAAAATCTCAAATTAAAAAAAAAAAAAAAGAACCATTAACAAGCTCAATTAAGGTAACTCATCAGATTTAAACAGACCCAAATGAAAAAAATTGAACCGAAAAACAAAGCTTAAAATGGGGATATTTAAACGT